ATTATTTTTTATGCCCCCGAAGGGAGGCATAATATAATCGCACCGTCTGTCTGTCCGTCCCCACTTTATTCGTGTCCGGACGGTAACTTTGTCATACATGGAGGGATTTTGAAAAAAACTAATCTACCTTGTCCGTCTGTCAGTCCGACCCCATTTAATTCGTGTCCAGACTGTAACTTTGTCATGCATTAAATGATTTTAAAATAACTAGGCATAAATGTCTAACACATTTACAAGGGGGAGAATCACGCCGTTCGTTACCCAAACAAACAAGATGGCGGATGCAGCCAAAATGTAGGTTTTTCCCTTTTTTCTCTGAAATTCGTGATGTTCTAATGTAAAGGTACATATAACAACCTTCTCCACAATTTTCCTGGCGCACAGGATTTTATTTCATAATGTTTCGTCCCGTACTTCATCTGAAATGCGCGTCACCAGATTCGAAGCGAGAGAATTTTCCACCGGTTTGATCGTGGTAACGTACGGCTTTTTCTCTCAAAGTCACTGTTTCTTTTACATATATGTATATTAACTGAAACTACTGACTTTAAAAAGTTGTAATATGTTGTCAAGTAAGCAATCATGCCAATTCTGGCTAGATTTACTGCTGTAAATATTAATATCGGGGCATTTTCTGGAAATGATAACGTATGGCGCACAAAATATCAATGATAACGTACGGCGCATTTTACTACTTGGTGGATTCCCATTTGTCCAATCAGCTGATAATGAATTATTTTTATGAAGGAAATGATATATATCTGGAAAAAAATGTTGGTCAGGTCAGAAATAATTTATTGATCAATGCTGCACCATCGGATATAAATATCTTTTTAGCTGGTGGCATAATAGATATTCGTTGTTAATATACCAATTAAAACACGTGTATAGTTTGAGAATATTTTGTTTAAAATGCAGAATGGAAAGAAAAGCCTCCACTTTCAGAGACGTTTGTGTATTGTTGTCTTCACATTAAATTTCACCAGTGTTGTGCGATAATTATGGTCTTATCCCCTTATCATAAAGAAGAAATGCATACATCAGAGCAAAAGTGTTAAAAAGGTACGGACGGCTTTAATGGTTAACCTGTCCGTGCTCTGTATTTGCCCTGTCCTGTTTTTGTTTGGGGTCCCCCTGGGCTCCTTGCCATTGGTTCTTGTTGCTGGGTCATGTGGGGGTTGCGTTCATTGAACGCCGCCTTTCCTTGTTGATCTTGTTTATCATATTTGATATATTTTCTTTTCCAAAGAAAAAGTCTTAAATTATTCCTAACAAATTTCTGATAAGGAAATCTTAATATTTGAACCCGTCAAACATAAACAAAACGAATAGTGATTACGACTAGCTTGAGATGAGCCTGTGTTTATTCCAGAAAAATACATAACAGAGAATAATGAATAAGTGTAGGTTCTATTTTGAATTTATTGAATGAGTTAGAAAATAATGTTATCCGAAAAACTTCAATGAATTTAGTTATCGCCTGGTTTGGAACTTTTCCTTTGTTCTTACTAACCTTTTATACTCAGTACACTTCAATGAGCATTTGAAAACTGTATTGATATATAGCAGAACAGATTTTTCATTGATTCATATAGGAAAAAAAACTTGACTGCTATATAGTGTTTGAGTTTTTTTCGCACCTTGTATATATCAATGCAGTTTTTTTCACAGAGGCTCCAATGGGGCAGTGGTAACGAACATTCCCAGTAGCAAAAAAGTGGAATCAATAAAATAAAATAAATAAATACAATGAAAAAAATAAACAAAGATAATTAATGAAATGAAATTTACTCTCATTTAATCAAAAGGTACATCCGCTGAATGAATTATTTTCACTGAAAAAAAGCCCTTTATATCTTGAATCAATATTGGTAACAGTTTACAATCCGCCTCTACAATTGGATGTCTTTTGTATATATATTGTTTTTGCGGCAGCGAAAACAACTTGAAAAAAACTGCATTATCATAAATAACTATAATGTAGCCAACGATTTATTTATTTATTTTATTTTTCATTTATTTTTTACATGAAGTACAAAGAAGAAAACATTATGCTATTCCGATAAAAGAGTTAAAGTATATGAAACTCGTTAGTTACGAGGATATAACACTGGCTGGGCGACATCTCGGGATGTTTCTGCAAAAAATTGTCTCGGCCTTACGGCCTCGCCATTTTTTACCAGAAACATCCCTTGATGTCGCCCCAGCCAGTGTTATATCCTCGTAACTAACTCGTTTCATGTACTATAACTATTACTAAATAAGAAAGTTTCTGTTTATTTGACGGGCGGTTAATATTGAAACGCTACCATTTAGCGTGACGTTGTGCCACTATGACATCAGATATATTAACGTGACATAGCCTTACAGTTTTTATTATTATAGTGGACAGCAGACATTTTATTTTATTCCAATAGGCTTTAAAGCCGATGATGACATTAAACATGCACAATAACGAACAGTTCATATAAACATATATATATGCATAATATCAAAAATCATGAAAAAGTTTGGAGAAGATCAATTTTGATTGATAAAGTAAATACCAGCCGAAGTTTTCTTAAGTAGTTACATAATGAACATTTTCATATCAAAATTGATCTTTAAACCAGTAACTTATAGGTCTCTTGTATATACATATACATACACACATATACATGTACATACATACAAGAAACATACAATACATGATCCATTAATGCAAAATTGTTGTATATAATTCGATTTTTAATACATAAACGCAATTACCATATGTTTATACACATATCCTAGAAAATGAATGTCCCTTCGCATCAATTGGGGATTTCATAATTGTAAATGAAAGGAACGTCATAATTTGATCAAAACGATTACATGCAAGAATTTGCCTATCATATTCTGGCGTTTTTTTCCACAAACGACCCAACAAAAACAATAATTTCTTTTAAAAAGTATTGCAGGTATCAGCAATAAAAGAGTGACATTGGAATTTGCTTATTAATTTCTAGTGTTACTTATATAAAGTTTCAAATCGGATTTGGATTTCGATGTTTCTATCCATGCCGGAAAACCCGTCTGAAACCTTTAATGCTAGACCGCTCATGCGCTTAGATAACGTCATTATCTTTATGCAAGAACGGTTTTAAAAATTAATTACACTACTCTTAAACTAGTGTTTGCGAAGTATATGTTAGTGTTCATCCGTGTTGTTCTACAGAAATTAGAAACTTCGACGGAAGCGATAGCGACCGGAGAATATTTCTTATTTCTGTATGTTACGGTTTAAAACTTACTTTATTTCGTCACTATACCTGTCTATTTGCACAAACGCGGTTCTATAAAGCACTATGAAAAATAGAAGGCTGCTATGAATGGACTTTGATATATCATTGACTTTTGTTCTTCTATGAAAATTTACACAAAGAATTTTTAAGAAATACAGCGCTTTCATTGGATGACAAATAAAGCTGGACACTTATATTATTTATTTCAGTTTCTTTATTTGGTTCTACACATCCTGTTATGTCTTGTAAACATAACTTTTCTATTATATAGAAAATCAATTAATCAGAAAAAAATGCGCCGTACGTTATCATTGATATTTTGTGCGCCATACGTTATCATTTCCAGAAAATGCCCCGATATTAATATTTTCAGCGGTTATTCTAGCCAGAATGGGCATGAATGCTTAGATGACGACATATTACAACTTTTTAAGGTCAGTGGTTTCAGTAAATTGACATATATGTAAACGAAACAGTGAATTTTAGAGAAAAAGCCGTACGTTACCACGATCAAACCGGTGGAAAATTCTCTCGCTTCGAATCTGGTGACGCGCATTTCAGATGAAGTACGGGACGAAACATCATGAAATAAAATCCTGTGTGCCAGGAAAATTGTGGAGAAGGTTGTTATATGTACCTTTACATTAGAACATCACGAATTTCAGAGAAAAAAGGGAAAAACCTACTTTTTGGCTGCATCCGCCATCTTGTTTGTTTGGGTAACGAACGGCGTGATTCTCCCCCTTGATTTAGACGATGTGTCGCGTCCAAGAATTACGTCTCTACCTCAAAGGTCAATGTCAAACATCATTTTGCATTTTCATTTATCACAATTTGAATTGATAGGTACACACATTCGTGTCCGGGCTGTACTTTTGTCATGCATGGAAGGATTTTAAACTGACAAGGCAAAAATGTCTACCACATCAAGACAATGTGTCGCGACAAATACTCGTGTCCCTACCTTCAAGGTCAAGGTCACACTTATAGTTTGAAGGTACTCATTCTCTCGAGAAGAGTTTGAAGATACACATTCATGTCCGGACTGTAACTTTGACATGCATAGTAGTATTTTAAAATAACTTGGCACAAATGTCTACCAAATCATGACAATGTGTGGCAGCTAAGGCTCATGTCCTTCTGCCCGTGTGTCCCCACTTACACAACAATCATGTCCAGACTGTAACTTTGTCATCTCATAACAACATTTTGTCGCGTCCAGGAACCACGTCATTTCTTCAAAGCTCAAGGTCACACTTATTGGTTACTTTCATTCTCTTTTCTTTTCATTATACCTGCATGCTTAAGAAACGTTTTCGGAGGCATTCGTCACTTAGGTGACAGCTCTTGTTTTTCTTTATTTTATGCCTGACACTTGATACTTGTTTATTTTTGCACTAAACGCGACTGAAATATGTCGCTATATCGTGCTATTGCGTTTTCGCGATTTTCTGTATCTAAGCATAGGATTTGGCAGGATATAGCAAAGGAAAGAACTGCCACCCACAGACTGTTGTTTTCGCCTTTAAATAAATTTCTTTTCAAACAAAAACACCATTTTTAATGTGGACGTTCGTTATATGCCGCCATTTGTTAGGTTTTACGGCGCACTAACAACAAAAATATAGGCTATGTTGCGCTGAAACAGGACAAATAATTTCGGCTCATCTCGGGTAACAACATCATGGGTCAAAACCATCTCATCTGCTTGACCTAAGGATGCAAAGACTACGTCGCCTTATTTCCAGAGGGACGTAACTCGATTTTTTGGCAAAATGTCATGTTTGGTATCGTTGGATTCGTAATTTCAAGCTTTACAAGATGGGCCGACTTACACCCATGTAGAACTAATAATAAACACGCTATTTTCCGTTCCAAGAAGACGTAAGTCCGTTTAAACACATAATTTGATTTCCAAAAAGTCGTAACTCAACAACCAATGGGAATGGCCGATTTCATTCTAAACGGTGCTAGGGTACAATTTTCACTTGCAAAAGTATCCATTTTTGAAAACTGCATCGTAAAGTTAACATGATTTTGATCAAGTTATGGGAATTATTTTTAATAGAAAATGTTAAGTATAAACTAAAAGTACTGTTATATTTCAGAATTTCTTACAGCGGTGTTTTAAAATGATTTACACTTGTTCCAATGGTTTAGTGAATAGACCTATTTCGGATGCACACTGTATTTGGACAAAGTTTGGATTGTGCAGAAAACATCCCCTTGAACCATTCAGTGTGTTATGTTTAACTTTTTTGTCACCATTTACATTATGTATGCACAGATAAATAGTATGTAACATACATTCCAAGTAAATGTGTATCCACCTATCTTATATTTTAACACGTTGTGTGCCCTTTCTGGGAAATCAGTCACCAGAACCAGTTAGATGTTTTAACAAGTCATTCTTGGTTGATGTTTAAATTTTATTTTTAAAGCTGCCATACGGTGTTGCTGATCACATTGTATATTAAACCCATTGGGACCTTGTTTGCGTGCCAGTATGGACGTGCGCAGTTCTTTCATAAGACTGTTCTAAAGTTCAAATATGATTATTTTTTATAACTTTTTTTCTGTTGATCACTATGATTTCTGAATATTTCAAATACCATAAATTGATATTTTCAGGAGTGCAAGGATTCAAGATCTGCCTAGTGAAGTATTGGTGAAAATATTCCAGTTTTTACAACTTGAAGATCTATTAAGAACGGTCAATCGTGTCTGTGTTCTCTTCTACAATCTAATTGAAAATTCTGCTGTATTGTGGAAAGAAATTGATTTCTCACACCCACTGGAACTGACAGCAAACAATTTGTATCAGGTGCTTCGACATTCTAGGAAGATAGAAACATCGTTACTACCTTGTGCAACATACCATTGTGCTAATGCAAATTAGACAGAATATTTACGACATCAGACTTCACTTCGCTGGTTTGGATTGACATAACTGATGCGAAAGTATCAACTTTGTGTTTCCTGTATGGTGCACCAAATCTAGAAATAGTGAACGTTAGTGGATGTTCGAACCTTATAGATGATGATTTCTTGGTACTTAAAGACAGCACTAAACTAGAACAGATTTATGTGAGTTTCACAAGAATACTACCAGAAACTTTGGAAGTAATTTGCAAAGATAAACCTCTCATCTGTGTAGATGCATGTGGAGTCAAACTGAACATTCAAACGTGCCAGAACATTTTGCAAAACACAACTGGAGAGCTTGTCTACTTCAATATATCACTGTGTTCTTCTGTTTCCAAAGAAAACTTTAAAGCAGAAATTCTGGATTTATACCTGAACACATCTATTTCAATACACAACCATGAGTACTAGTAAATTCAGTTTAAGTGAAGTTATGAACATGCTGGAAGATGATCAGTTACAGTATAGTGATGACTTGTTTGAGAGCAATGGTGAACAGTCTTATGATGTAAATGAAATATTTGACAATGTACCAAATGATTTATGCGACCAGCAGTTCAGTGAGCAAAATGAAACTAACCTAAACACTTTTGACAATGTGGACGATTCTATATCTTTAGCACATAATTCGGAAGAAAATTTAAGTACTATTCCTGATACAGTAACGTTGAATTTTTATGACACTAGCAGATTACCAGAATCAGAAATATCAGAGGAGACATGTGATTCCCACTTTAAAGATTACCAGAAATATAGTTCTGTGATCAATTTCAAAGGAGTTCCCTATACAAAGGTCAAAGTTTTGAGATATACTAAGAGCCAGCCATTGCTGGTTGAGTTTAAACTTGCTTTCAGTGAACAACAATACCAAAACTATATTCTTGTCAGACGTCAAACAAGAACAACTGAAGAAACACTGAGAGAACTGCCCAGTACACAGCAATTAAGAAAAGTACCAGTGATTCCACTAAATAAGAAAAAAAAGATTTGTCAAGTACTATAGGGGCTGCAAACTTGTGATTGAAAAGCAGTGACTGAAATCAAGCTTAGATGGGATCTGTGTTGGGGTTATGAGAACTGTATTTGGGTTATGAGAAATTTGTTTGGGTTATGAGAAGTGTGTTAGGGTTATGAGAACTGTGTTGGGGTTATGAGAACTGTGTTACGGTTATGAGAACTGTGTTGGGGTTATGAGAAACATCAGGTTATTGTTAGTCTGTATGTGCATCAGATAATATATTGAGATAGGGGTTTCTAAAGTATGATATCTGTATTACAGTATGATATGTTGTTTTAGTTTTCATAAAGTTTACTGTTGGTGTTCATAATGTTATCATTTGATCATAAATAGCAATGTTGCTATTAGAGCTGGCATTAATTCATTGCAATGCATATTGAAGATACATCGATATCGGATGACAAATATTGGCGATACACCGATATAACGATATATACTCCTAATTTCTTGATATAATTGAATTTTGTAACTATTTAAATGATTTCAGTTAAATAAAACTCATTTTGTTCATACAAAGATGTTGTGTCCTGTTTAAAACTGTCCTTTGTGTGTTTTCTGCTATGTAATGTGTCCAAAGTGTTAGACATGGCCACATGCTTTTGTATATGTTTTGGGTGAATTTTCATAATTCATAGACATTAACATAATTAATCAAAATTGTCGATTTTTTTTCAAAATGTGTATCGATTATTGATCAACAGAAAAATATCAAAGATACATCGATATCGTCCCTATCGATGACAGCCCTAGTTGCTATGCATAAGAAACCATTTAAATTCTTATTGTTATGGTTTTTGGTATTGAAAGTCAAGTGATGACTCAGTTTAAATTGTGAATTGAAAGGTGTTTGGTCAGTTGAGATGAATGTATGTTTAAGGTTCTTTTATAAGCAGTTAACTACATGTATTGTTGTTGTTTTCAGCTAAGACACAGGTGATTTTTTTATTCTCAATGTAAATAATGGTTGACATAACTGGGCTTTAATACTTTGCTAGTGGCAAGATTTATATCTAGCTGTCAGTCAGAGTCTTTTTAACCTGAGTGCAGTAATGCTTTAATAAATACACCATTCTCATTAAAAACGTCAATGAATGTGGACCTACAGTATAATATTATACCCTCATTGATTGAATATTGTAATAAGAAGTAATAAAAACTGTTTGCCTAGTACTATAATTAATTGGACATATTTCTTTCTTATCAAACTTCCAAATCATATGTAATAGTGATATATTTCTGTGCAAATTTAGCCATGCTGTATTTTTTGTGTTCCATTAACTGTTCAAATAAACTGTTCAAATCATTTTTACTTTTTTCTATGCTCCTGTTATGAAGATGGACGTTTGGCCTTTGCAACACAACACATAAGATCTAGTAGGACACACGTAAATAGAGTTTAGAACGACTTTCCTATGGAGGTCACTTTCAAATTTATTTTAGGTCGACTTTTGAAAATTAGCATTAAATTCACACGAAACTCCATTAACGTTGTGTCCTCCACAGAAACTCTTCCTTAACTCCTAAAGTTTACAGCTTTTTTCAAAAGTATCTTCAGTCATCTTGGTTGGCTGTTTCTGTACAAATATTATTGTGCTTGTGCCAAATCTGTTTCTAATCTGACTTGTAACAGAATGCGGCGTCTCCCATTGCGATTCAAACCTTTGTGGTAGAGACCATCAGATATAGTCTTACTGGGATGTGTGACAGCAAACCATTTTTTTAAAAAAATTAAACTAACAGTTTTCTATTTTGTGAGATTCTGGAGAAAATTCAAATGTATTATTCATTCCAGAAAGTCGTAACATATGATTTGAGACTTAAATTTATTTCCATATGGACGTAACTCGAAGTTGCGTTTTGGAACTAAAATTATAACACAAAAATTCATTTTCAGGGGAATTTCAAAAAAATGTTTTTAATAAATAAGGAAAAGTAATTATCTGATAAGCCTGAAAGTGGACATGCTTATGTAAAAGCATATGACAAATATCCTTTCAAAAATTCAGCTTGTTAGCCCTAGAGGTAAAGGCTGTACAGCATATCAAAACTTTAAATGCGTTTTTCGTGAAAGTAACTAAATGCAACTTACGTCCCTCTGGAAATAAGGCGACGACTAGTTAACGAAATATGAAAAACACGATCAATGAAGGGCGGTCATCAATGAACCCTAAAATAGATAAATACAGAATCCCTAAAGAAAGCCCAACACGACAAAATTGAAAATGTTGCAGGCTTGGTTTGATTGAGCCTGTTCATGGACGGTACTGGAAAGTGCAAGTTACCTAAAATATGATAAACAAGATCAACAAGGAATTAATACAAGCCATTCATTTGTCTCTTTCAATCACGCAGGGGCGAAAGGTGGCTGTACTTTTTATACCTCAGCCATTAATTATGGCAACCCCTCAGCCACAAGGACTCATATCTTGTGTTCTTGATTTTAATTTGTTATAGATGCCCTTCCATGAAATGACATTACACCTTGTTTGGGTTTATCAGCACAGTCACATCGCACCGAGTAGACAAAAACAAAGTCCTTAATAAATCCGAAAATGTTGCAGGCTCGGCTTGTAACGTCTATGAACAAGATCAATCAAACCGAGCCTGCAAAATTTTCAATTTTGCCGTGTTAGGCTTTCTTTAGGGATTCAGTTTTTCTCTATTTTTTGAACGATACCGGCAACATTTTCAATTTTTCCGTTTTAGGCTTCGTGTGGGGGTTGCGTTCATTGAACGCCGCCTTTCCTTGTTGTATTTCCATATGGATTCCGCTTTACTTGATGTTTAAATAATCTTTCCTAATCCGACGCTACATGACCTTTACTTTGTTAACGTGCCGTAAAACTAAACAATCAAATGGTTAAATATTTAGTAAATATCATTATTCGAAAAAAAGAGAGTAATAGTTGCTGCAAATTTATTATAATTCTTGCATTGAATAGCCATTTTTGTGTCGCCTCTACGGAATAGTGGCGACATACAGGTATCACTTCTCCGTTGTCTGTCTGTCCGTCACAAAACTTGTCCGGACTATTCCTCATAAACTACTGGTGCAATTTCATCCAAACTTTACAGAAATGATCAGTACCAAGTCTAATTGTGCATATTGTCAGCATTTTCCGGTTCAATGATTTTTGTCAGAGTTATGGCCTTTTAATAATTTTTAATTTTAAAGTTTTTCCGGACTACTTCTCTTATACCACTAATGCAATTTCAATGAAACTTTACAGGATTGATCTGTAGCTCAAGTCCTTGCGCATATTGCACGGGTTTTTGGGTTGAACGATTTTTGGCTGAGTTATGGCCCTTTGATAAAAAGGTGTTTTTTTCTGTGTGTTGCCAGATACACAAAAGCTTGTCCGGACTACTCCTCATAAACTACTGGTGCAATTTTATCCAAAGTTTACAGGAATGATCAGTACCAAGTCTAGTTGTGCACTGTCTGTCACAAAATTTGTCTCAACATGAAATTGGCCATCATGAGGCGACACATGTGATCACTGATCAGATTCGATCAAGCCGAGTCTGCAACATTTTCAATGTCGGCTTTAATTTTTAATTTTTTTGTAATAAATGCTTCCGAGGGATCACTTTGTTTCCAGATTGTTAGGATTGTGTTTTTGTCTATTTCACGATAAGTGCCTGGTGCGATGTTCCCAGATATATGTCAGTGTGCCGTTAAACCAAATGTGTAAATGGCATCTGTACATATCTTTACTCTCATATTAAAACCAGGATCAGCAAGAAATGGGCCCTTGTGACTGAGGGGTTGCCATTAATGGTTGAGGAATTAGAATTGCAGCCAGTTTTCGTCCCTGTGTGATTGTAAAAGACAACTGAATTGGTTAAGGGTAAGGTCTTGCGTCCATGGAACGCCCCCCATTCTGGATGATCTTTTTGTAATATTTCGTTTAACTAGAGACTATGCATTCCTGCGCTCAGCAGGTGAGATGGTTATGACCCGTGGTGTTGCTTTATAGCCCCCCACCCCCCTATTCACCCGTACAGCCCTTTTCCCTTTAATTCCCTTATGGGCCCGTTTTTGTTTATATTATTTCACATTACATGTCCCACTCCTTTCGCCCTTGTGTCCACTCCAGGTTTTTGTTTGGTGCCTTCTGGGTGTTCTACTTGGGTTTGTCCGTGGGCGGCGTCTTGTGAACGTTGCCTTTGTTTTTCTTTGGGGTCCTCCTGGGCTCCTTGCCGCTGGGTCGGGTGGGGGCTGCGTTCATTGAATGCCGCTTTTCCTTGTCGATCTTGTTTATCATATTTTGTTGATCTTTATTCTTGTTATTTTGTGATATCCAAGGTGAGCCAAAACTATTTGTCCTGTTCCGGCGCAACATAGTCTATACTGTGTTGTTAGTGCGCCGTTAAACCAATTCAAGGAACGTATCAAATATGGTAATTTACATTTTTGTAGAAAAGAAATTTAATCACTTTGATATTGGAAAACGGCGAGAACGACAGTCTGAACTGAAAAAAATCATAATCCTGGCATAAAGTATCTTCTTGGAATTGTAGACTGTTTAAAATCGAGAAAAACAGAATCCCTAAAGAAAGCCCAACACGGCAAAATTGCAAAAGGTTGCAGGCTCGGCTCCTTGCCGCTGGTTCTTGTGGCTGGGTCATATGGGGGTTGCGTTCATTGAACGTCGCCTTTCCTTATTGATCTTGTTCATCATATTTGATTGAATCTGTTCATGGACGGTACTGGTTAGTACCGTCCATTAAGTTGGTTAGTTTTCGTACGCCCTTTGCGCGACAAATGTGCACAAAATATGATAAACAAGATCACAAGGAAAGGCGCGTTCAATGAACGCAACCCCCATATGACCCAGCAACAAGAACCAGTGGCAAGGAGCCCAGGCGGACCCCAAACAAAAACAGGACAGACTAACTTAAGCGATGGAAGAAATTAGTATATTTATAGCCAAACGCATAAAATATGATAAACAAGATCGACAAGGAAAGGCGGCATTCAATGAACGCAGCCCCCACCCGACCCAGCGGCAAGGAGCCCAGGAGGACCCCAAAGAAAAACAGGACAGGGCACAAGGCAGAGCATGGACAGGCAAACCACTTCTTCAGAAAACATAATAAGTAACTGATAAGGAACTAAAAGAAAATAAATAAATGATTTAATATAAGGCCCATAATGTCAAAAGACGCAAGGGAAGGGGACATGAGACACGGGGAAGGGGGGATAAAATAAATAAAAACTAGGGACAAAGGGAAGATACTTACCGTAGACGAGAAACAACAAGAGACACGAGCAAAAGTGTCACTAAAACAGTATAAAACAACAAAGACATACATCTGAGGAACACAGAGG